GGGAAAAAAAAAAAACACATGGAAGAGCGCGCATAAGTATAATATAATGTATAGGCACACAATGTAATATCACGATAGAGGCACGGGTCCTATTGTGTGCAAATGACGGGGCCAACTCACCGTTCCAGAGCTTCTCCTGGAAGGCGGCCTTGCCCCGTTCGAGGATGTCCCGATACCTCGAGGCGTCCTCCCGCTCGGACAGCAACTCTGCCATCACCACGGCGCAGTGGAGCGCGGCGATCCACAGGCCACCGCAGTAAGCGCTGTGAAGCACAAACCAACTCATGGATGCGCGTACCGTCACGGTTTTGCATTCAAACTCTTTTTTTTTTTTTTTTTCTTTTTTTTTCGAATCGTATATTATATTTATCAACGCGAACGCGCGTAACTCTCTCGTCTAGTACCCATAAACACGTTTGCAATGAAAGAAGAAGAACTAGGGATGAAAAAAAAATGTATTCATGTACTTCCATCGGATGTGTGAGTAAACGTGTTAAGCCTTTGGGTGAAAATTGAACGTGTAGTTGGGTAGAAAAACAAGCACCAAAGTGATTCATAATGCCTAGACATTTATCGGGGTGACCCCTCAAGGAAGGGGATGAGGGGGAGGGTAACCATACGATAGGTACAAAGATAGAGCACGCGCCGCGAGAGACGCGAGAGGTGGTGATACGATATATTCATACCTCGAGCCGCGCATCACCCAACAGTCGTACGTTTGGTCGGGAAAGCCACCGTTTTCTATGAGGCCGTCGTTGTCCTCGTCGAAGGCCATGCAGTGCTCCAGGACCTGTCGGTCCAAACGTTTAAAACGATTTATCATCTCGATCCTTCGCGTACACACATGTATATTATACGTATACACGCGTAAAGTTTTTTTACACGGTATACGATGTTAAACTAATCGAGGCTGCATAGTGAATGTGAACAATGTGACTTGTAGCTCTATGAATTCATTGATATAGACAATGGACTAGTATGTGTTCTGATGTGGACGTGTTGATACAGATAAGTCGGATTTAATTTATGCGTGTAGGAAACGTGTCTACGTGAGAAAAAAATGTACAAATACTTATACTTATATATCCGGAGTTTAAATGAAAACTGCAATGATAAAGTCGATCGACTCGCGAATACTTGCAACCATTTTCATCAAGTTTTCTCTCATGAATAAATACAATTTTCGAGCTGTTGAAGTATTATTACACGAATCCCAAATTAAAGTGCGAATCGTATAACTTGTGCATTGAATTGTTATACGTGCAATGAGTCGAGTTCGGTACACTTATACCGATCGTTGGGAGCTCTTGGTTGAAGGTGTGATCAAGTATAGCCCAATCGAGGGGCGAAAAATATCTTGTATGAAACACCATTGATCCTCTGTCCCAAAGGAGCAACAACCAGTTGCGAAACACCCTGCACAAGGCGCGGACGTTTTGCGACAAGTGGCGGGCACAGAACATAAGGATCGGTGGCGGTGGTGGTGGAAGCGGTGGGAGCGGCGGCGGCAACAATGCCACAACCGAACCGCTGGACACGTCGGGTGGACAAAAGGGCCTGGCCAGGTGGTTCAGCATGCGACGGGGCTCCAGTCACCAGTACGACGTCGACTCGTCCTCCGACACTGCCTCTCTCACCAGCCCCCTCAAGGTGCCCCACCAGATGCCTCAGCTGTCCGAGGTGAGATCTCGTTCCTACTCCTTCCAACGATTTTTCGCGATAAGTCGAGAAACTCTTGTCCAACTGTGGCAATCAGCGAGAAACAAGCTCAATTCGAGGATATAAGAGGAGGAGGGAGGGGGGAATGGAAAGTACAATTACGCGGTGTTACGTTCAATCGACTTCAATTGCAATCAGCCGGGTCCTGCACACTTGGATATGAGCTTTTCTCCTCGAATTGGCGTGACTTTCGCTCCGAGGCGCTAATGAAGCGCGCCAAATTGATTCGATGCTCAATGTACTTTGAACGCGCGTTGCTGAAAGAAAAAAAGATAAAATAAAGTAACTGTAGACAATCATTTCTCAAGTGCCGGCAACACTTTGTTGTGCCAGAAATGCTTGAAATATATAGAAATCGACGATAATTAATTAAGGTATGAAACGATAATCATCTCGGTGTTGGTCGCAGGTCGAGGAGGAAAGCGGAGCCATAACGCAGTTCCAGTGCTCGCAGCTGCGTAGGACGGCGCCGCCCTCGTTGCCGGACGCGCCGCCGAATCTCTCGGCCCAGCAGCTCAAGCGGCGCTACATCGTCGAGGCCATCGTCCACTCGGAGAACAGCTACGTCAACACCCTCCAGAGGCTCGTCAACGTGAGTCAATGTTGCTGCCCGTCGCAATCCTCCATTTTTTTTTTTTTTTTTATTCCTGATAACGTATGTACATATTTGTTTCTTTGTTCCCTCGACAGGATTATAAAAAAGAACTGGAGGACTCGTCGCCGCCGATACTCAGCCAGACCAAAATAACGACGCTGTTCCTCAAGTTGCCCGAAATACTGCAGTGCCACACGCTCTTTCGGATCGCGCTGGCCGAGTGCGTGCGCTCCTGGGACGAGAACGAGAAGCTCGGGGACGTCTTTGTCGCGAGTTTCAGCAAGGCCATCGTTCTCGACATCTACAGCGGCTTCATCAACAATTTCTCCGTGGCCATGGACCTCGCCAAGCAGGAGTCCAAGCGCAAGACCGCCCTCGCCGACTTTTTCAAGGTACGACGACGCAACTTTTGCACTCCAAAGTATACCTATACTGTGATTTTAACATTTTCCTTGCGATTTTTGCGCGCAGATGAAGCAAATCAACGCCCATGACAGACTGTCCTTCTTCGGATTGATGGTCAAGCCGGTTCAAAGGTTCCCGCAGTTTATATTATTTTTACAAGTGAGTCCATCGTTTAACATGAAAAAATTCTCTTTTATCCCCACCCCAACCATCGCCAATCGTCGCCGTTTACTTGCAGGACTTGCTCAAGCATACTCCCCACGGACACCATGACAGAATGTCGTTACAGTTGGCTCTCACGCAGCTGGAGAGCTTGGCAGAAATGCTCAACGAGAGGAAGAGGGAGGCTGAGCAGTTCCAGGCGTTCAAGGAAATGTTGCGTCACGTGTCGGGCAAACTCTCCCACCGGCCGCTTTCCTCGTCCTCGAGGTACCTCATAAGGGAGGACAACGTCACCCAGCTGGTACGACACAACAATCTTTTTCTTTTTGCCTCGCTCGTTTATTTATTTTTTATTTTTGCAATCATTTAATTGTACTCTTTTTAGGAATTCAATCAAAACGGAATGATCACTAAATCGAAAAGACGAAGACTGCTGCTTTTGAACGATCTCGTCGTGTGCGTTTCGGTAGCACCGAGATCGGCGGAAGATTTTACGAGCAGCGAGCGGCTTACGTTGAAATGGACGCATCCCGTGTCAGAAATTGAGGTAATTAATCAACAACGAGTGATCATCCTCCGTCATCGGCTGTTCTATACTAATTCGATGTTACTTTAGATACAGGACACAAGTACGTCTCCAACGCTCAGTCGACTGCTAACAGCAGGATTGAACAAGGGTGGCAGCCTCAAGTCGGATAGAAGTGGCGAGGGTGGACAAGCGGGTGCGGATAACTTGTGCGTAGAAATGAACGATCTCATGCACGACTACGAGGTGATGTCGAGGATCAGTGACTTGGCTGCTCAGCTGAAGGGCACGTATGAGGTAACTTTATTTAACAATATTCTTTGGATGACGTTTCAATTTGTTTTGTACTTAAAAATTTAATTTTATACTTTTTAAATTATTCCTTACAGGGATTGACTCCCGAAGCGATAAAGCAAGTACTGCAGGGTATACAGTCGTCGATACAGGCAAAGGACGAGGAAATGGTTTGGGCAGACAGTTGCTGCTTGCAGCTTGTGACAAAGCAGGGCCAAATGTACACTTTCCAGACGGAAAATCCGCTCGTGAAAAAAGACTGGGTAACCGAGCTGAGGCTCGCACAGCTAGCTTTGGATCCCAACAATTCACCGTCCTGGGAAGTACCGGAACAAGAACAGAGGCCGTCGACGAAGATGCCCCTCTTCGTCACTGCTACGCCCGTCTATCACTCGCAACATCAATCCGAAGTACGTACAGCTAATGTCGATGAAAATTGTTGCATACCATCTCAATTCAAACTAAAAGTATTGCTTATACGTTCTAGGTGCGGTGCGGTTGCTACTACGTCACTCAAAATCCTCGACCAACGAGGCGACGAGGTAGACATCAGAGTTACCTGTGGGTCTGCACGGACGACGGTGTTTCGACGCACGTCACCGCGTTTGGCCAATCGACCACGGCCTCGGCAACCTCCCTCAAGCAAATCACATCCTTCGACCTCGTAGAGACGCGCGTTGCCGCCGTCGAATTCGTCAAAGGCTTGAGTAACGAACATCCAAGCCTCTCGAGCGATCTCGTTTGGATGGGCACGGATTCGCGCAAGCTCATCCTCTACACCGCAGCCGAGCCGGAGAAGCAGGAAGAACTGGGCAGTTATCCGGTGTCCGGACCGGTCATTCAGATTAAATACCATTACGATAACGTCTTTGTGGCCCTCGGCACGGGCTCGCTGCTCATGTTCAAGCGACAATGCGACGGAACGTGGAATCTGAAGGAACCGGCCATCATCACGTTGGGATCCGATCCAGTGTCTTGCCTCATGCCGATCAACTCATCGGTGTATGCAGCTTGCGGGAAAAAGGTCTGGGTACTGAACGCCATGACGGGTGAGAACACAAAGAGCTTTAGCGCACAGCACGAGCACGTAGGTAACGTCAAACTGATGGCGCACTCGGGCGTCGGTCTGTGGGTTGCGCTCAAAAACTCGAGCACCGTGTGCCTGTACCACACCGAAACGTTCAAACACCTGCAAGACATCAACATCGCCTCGAACGTATTGCGGATAGCCAAGTTCGGTAACTGCGGTAACAATAGTCACGCCAACTCAACGGCCAACGACACTCTCAACAACAATCAGTCGGCCGTAACGGTGACCGCTCTAATGGCCTGCAAGGGCTTGCTGTGGGTAGGCACGAACGTTGGCATCAGCCTGACGATTCCCTTGCCACGTCTCGAGGGTGTACCGATCATCAGTGGCCGAGTCAACATTTCGTATCACGCGCACTTTGGTCNTTTAAATAAATTTGATTCAAATGTCGCACGCAGTCCTAAAGTTCAAACTTCCCACTTGGGAGTACCGTCTATCGCTTTCTAGGTGGTGACCACTAGTTTCCTGTAAACACTGTAAGTAATAAAGGAATTGCTAGTCTATAATAAGGTCTGCCTGACGACTCAAGAGCATCGACCCAGATCATGGAAATACGTGCATTGCATAATTCTTGTTCTTTCTAACTGCTTAAATACATAGCACTAGTAGAATTTGTACAAATTAAATAAATATCACTGTACACTAAATCACAGTCTTACTTTTACACTGACCCTCTTCCTACTCTCACTCTCTCTTACCACTTTATTTGTATTGGGTGCTGCTCATGACCTCTCTGCCTATTAGTCAAAAGTGGAGACAATTGACCTCTGGGAAACAGATAGACGAGTGTCTTATCTAAACTTATGCTGTAGTAACTTTTCTAGAATTCTTCCTTTGAAAATCTACCTGGGACGCAGCCACCCAATCAACCCTAGTGTCTTCGCCTCACAAAGACCATCACCCACTACTACCCTCTCTCTGGCTGCTAGGCCAGAGCATTCCGAAGGATCAAAGCTCCTTATCCACAGCATCGTTCCATTACTTCCTGAGCTTTCCCTCTCATTCCAGAACTACGATACTACTGCATAACCTTGGTAGAGACAATCGTCTGTTCATTGCCTAGGAGTCAATTGTCTTCACTTTTGATTAAGAAGCAGAGAGGTCATGAGCAGCACCCAATACGAATAAAGTGGTAAGAGAGAGTGAGAGTAGGAAGAGGGTCAGTATAAAAGTAAGACTATGATTTAGTGTACAGTGATATTTATTTAATCAGTACAAATTCTACTAGTGCTATGTATTTAAGCAGTTAGAAAGAACAAGAATTATGCAATGCACGTATTTCCATGATCTGGGTCGATGCTCTTGAGTCGTCAGGCAGACCTTATTATAGACTAGCAATTCCTTTATTACTTACAGTGTTTACAGGAAACTAGTGGTCACCACCTAGAAAGCGATAGACGGTACTCCCAAGTGGGAAGTTTGAACTTTAGGACTGCGTGCGACATTTGAATTAAATTTTTATAAAACGATGGAATTTAATAGTTAGTTATAGTCAGTAATTTTTGTTTAAAAAATGAATAATAATGAAAATAATGCCCATAATATAAACGAATATATGTATTTAGCTTTAACTGTTTTTTAAGGTGGTCGTACGGTTATAACCACTAATTTATTACTTTTACTCATCTTAACTACTGTGAGCTGTTGAACAAGCTTCGGAAAATATCTATGGACATATGTGACTTCAAAAACAGGAACTCATATCTTTTGGATAGCTAAGATGGTGAAGGCGTGTGCCGCTTCGCTAATTATTTTGCAGTCTTAGTGTTCCATCCCACGTCTTGGCAGATTTTTTTTTTTTAGTTATGCAATCTATCCTTTTGTTTTGAGTTGCTTTACATAGTTTTTATACTTCAAAACTTCTAAGAAATCACGAATATCCTGTTTACAAATGAAAAAAAGCTAGAGACAGAAGAAAACTTATACTCTTATTAAACCAATATGAAGTATGGTTATTACCAGCAAAGTACAACCTACACCCAATTATACGAAAATACTTGTCTACGTGCATGTATTTTATTTTTTAGCTTATATTTACATTCCTTATTATATATGATGTTGTGCACAGAGTGACCATCTTAGAGACTTTTGTTTCACATTTCAAGCTCCCGTACAGTGTGGCCTCAATCCTCTCACTTGGATTTTTACGCTCGGACTAGAGGCAGTTGCCAACTCAAACTAAAATGCAGAAATTTAAAATTTCTAATTTTGATATAATACGCGTGAACCTATCGTAAAACAAGCGAAATGTATTTTTGGTATGAATTCACTGGAGACCCTATCAGGAGAATGTAAAAGAATGGAGAAGAACGTAGGAAAATTTAACAAAGTGATAGTGACACGTAATGAAAACGTAGCTTTGTTTTTGTTGAACGATAAAGTATCATATCTAAGAAACATTATTATTCTGCGCTTGTTATACACATAATTGTGCTCGATCTTGTTAGAGTTGTGCTGCTATTGTGAATGACTTTAGATATGTTGCCTTCGCATGCTTTAGTCATCTGCTGTATCTCGTCTCATGGATGGTTCTCATGAATTGCGTTCGTGTGTGCGTGCTTGCTCATGTTTCCCGGTGACACAGCTTGTGTTCAACTAGTGACTGAGAAATCATATATACAAATATATACTTTTTAAATTATTCCTTACAGGGATTGACTCCCGAAGCGATAAAGCAAGTACTGCAGGGTATACAGTCGTCGATACAGGCAAAGGACGAGGAAATGGTTTGGGCAGACAGTTGCTGCTTGCAGCTTGTGACAAAGCAGGGCCAAATGTACACTTTCCAGACGGAAAATCCGCTCGTGAAAAAAGACTGGGTAACCGAGCTGAGGCTCGCACAGCTAGCTTTGGATCCCAACAATTCACCGTCCTGGGAAGTACCGGAACAAGAACAGAGGCCGTCGACGAAGATGCCCCTCTTCGTCACTGCTACGCCCGTCTATCACTCGCAACATCAATCCGAAGTACGTACAGCTAATGTCGATGAAAATTGTTGCATACCATCTCAATTCAAACTAAAAGTATTGCTTATACGTTCTAGGTGCGGTGCGGTTGCTACTACGTCACTCAAAATCCTCGACCAACGAGGCGACGAGGTAGACATCAGAGTTACCTGTGGGTCTGCACGGACGACGGTGTTTCGACGCACGTCACCGCGTTTGGCCAATCGACCACGGCCTCGGCAACCTCCCTCAAGCAAATCACATCCTTCGACCTCGTAGAGACGCGCGTTGCCGCCGTCGAATTCGTCAAAGGCTTGAGTAACGAACATCCAAGCCTCTCGAGCGATCTCGTTTGGATGGGCACGGATTCGCGCAAGCTCATCCTCTACACCGCAGCCGAGCCGGAGAAGCAGGAAGAACTGGGCAGTTATCCGGTGTCCGGACCGGTCATTCAGATTAAATACCATTACGATAACGTCTTTGTGGCCCTCGGCACGGGCTCGCTGCTCATGTTCAAGCGACAATGCGACGGAACGTGGAATCTGAAGGAACCGGCCATCATCACGTTGGGATCCGATCCAGTGTCTTGCCTCATGCCGATCAACTCATCGGTGTATGCAGCTTGCGGGAAAAAGGTCTGGGTACTGAACGCCATGACGGGTGAGAACACAAAGAGCTTTAGCGCACAGCACGAGCACGTAGGTAACGTCAAACTGATGGCGCACTCGGGCGTCGGTCTGTGGGTTGCGCTCAAAAACTCGAGCACCGTGTGCCTGTACCACACCGAAACGTTCAAACACCTGCAAGACATCAACATCGCCTCGAACGTATTGCGGATAGCCAAGTTCGGTAACTGCGGTAACAATAGTCACGCCAACTCAACGGCCAACGACACTCTCAACAACAATCAGTCGGCCGTAACGGTGACCGCTCTAATGGCCTGCAAGGGCTTGCTGTGGGTAGGCACGAACGTTGGCATCAGCCTGACGATTCCCTTGCCACGTCTCGAGGGTGTACCGATCATCAGTGGCCGAGTCAACATTTCGTATCACGCGCACTTTGGTCCCGTCACTTTCCTCCTTGCCATACAGAACAGCAGGAGCAACATTGGCTGTTCAAAGGATGATGAGCAGCAACAGCAAGATGAGGAACAGGTGCAGCTGAGGAATAAGTATTCGGAGCAAAATGGACATGCACCGAGGCAGCGCGCCGATCGGGTTAGTCTCGATGCATCCACGTCCTCCAACATGTCGGCCAACATGCTCAAGTTCAAGCAGCAGCTCGCCAGTAGTCCTGTGTTGTTGAGGCGAAAGCGCAGCAAGGAGAACGAGTACAGAGGCTCGAAGACGTTGCCTCGTGGACTAGGTAAGGCGTACTTATTATGTACCTGTAAAAAAAAATATTGTTTGTACTTTGATGACATTAAAACGTTGTTAATTGTTTCTAGGCTCTGGCGGTGGTTTTCTATCGAGTTCGATGTCGAGCTCGCAGAGCTCCGGTGAAAACTGCGACGTGTACGGTCTGTATGGCGAGCTCATGTACGTGAAGGATTACGAGAACGAGGGCGGCACCGTAGTGGACCCGGTCTACGAGTCGTTGCGTCGTAGCGATCCCGAACTAGCCATTCCCAACAAAGTCAACACCTTGGACCGTAGAATGAAGATGAAGATTATGAGGCCGAGGTCGCTCGACTTGTCAAATTGGTCGGTAGACTCGCACGCCAGCTCGCTCTACACGTCGTCTGGCTCGGAGGAGAACCTGTCGCTCAAGGCTGGCAAGCTGTCGCGCAACAGTAGCACAGCAAGCCGAAACGGGCCCCAGCACAGCGAACTACAGCAGCCCATGGTTACCATAAACAACACCTCGACTCCGATTCAGGAGAACAGGACGGCGGCGACGACGAATAAACAGAAGCCACCAAACAACAAAAAACCCCCACCCGGTAAGGGACAAGCCGATCAGCCGAGGCGAACTGTACTCACGCTCATGGGTGGCCGAGGTTACGTTAATTGGAGGCACGTTGGAGCCCACAAGGAGGATAAAAATCAAAAGTCTGCATACTCTATTAAAGATCCGAATAGCAACGATGCACACATCGTTCTTTGGGAGATGAAATTATGATACCGAATCAAAGTAGGCCTACTTTACTGGTACCAAAAAGAGGCATTATTTACTTTCCTAATGATAATACGTGCTATAATAGTGTAAAAGGACCAAATAATGCATGCGCGGTCGGACTCTATCGAGAGTAACGAGTAAATTCTTTGAATTTTTTTTTTTTTGTTTTCAACATAAGCTATTACTTGAGTGAATGGTCTGGCTACGTGTACTATAATTTAATTATGTAAAGTACTTTTGAGTACAGACAGTTTATATATTGATTGTTAAAAAAAAAATCGAGAAAATTGAAAAAAAAAAAAAAAATAATAGTGTCGTTACGTACTCCTTATTCATGTAGATCAAAATTTTTCACAAATTTACAAATGCTACACCGATATGGCGACGTTGTATGATAGGGATCGTATACCCGTTGATGATTGAATCAGGTTCTTGATTTATATGAATTGCACAAAAATTCAAAAGACTTTTCTAAGGTTTTTGATAACTATTTTTTAGCCACCAATAACATTTGATACATTTTTTTGCCTCGTTTATCTTGATGAATTTATTGATAACCGATAGTATGAGTTCCAATTTATGGTCATACACACACTGTTGAGCTGATGCTCGACCTTTTGAAATTGGAAATCTGTACGAGAACGTGTATAGAAAATGTATGATGAAAATGAATGCTGTTTATACTGTTACACTTTATATGTAAGAACCAAATTGGCCGTTGACTTTGTTAGTTCCATTAATCGTGTTAGCTGTACTCAATCATTGAAAGAGCGATACGCACGCGATGAAAGGACGAAAATTTTTTATGAGATTTGCTCTTCCATTATTAAAAAAAAATTTGTGATCCGAAGACAAGTATATCACTTGTTTATGTGCAAAGTGTATGTTAGATTGTTTGTAAAAAAAAATAATTTCTAGTAACTTTTTTCATGTAATTAGTTATACAATTATATTTTGTATTAATGCTAGTGTGTAACGCACGTGGTAAGTTTATATTATTGTTTAAGAATTATTCACTTTGAGACATCAAGTGCTACGATTTTATTTATTATTCAATGCATTCAAAAGTATTCGATACGAAATTTATAGGTACTCTTATGCTTGAATAATTCGATTGATATTTGATTTTTTTTCTTTGTACAGAATTTGAGGTCCCTAACATTATTTAAGCCGATGTCTTAAAGGTTGATGAATTGTTATGAAAATAATTGGATATGTATACCAAAAAGTACTTCGTATTTCTAAAGATTAGCACTTTCGTTTATAAAAATTTTTTTTTACATTTTTTGTTCGTGCAATTTCAAAACTTATGTAAACATTAATTGTATTACAATGAATAAATGAAAATAGAAATATTCAGCAAAACCGTCTTCATCGATGAAATTGACATAAGTAAATACAAACGTAAATACATTTTCATTCAGCAGTATTGTACAAATCATCATTATTCTCGACAACAATTTTTACTATGTATTTCGAAAATAATACAATTGTATTTTTTGTTGTAGGTTTAATGAATAATTGCAAAAATTAGTATGGAGTTGCTTGTGACATGAAGAGCCACAGTTATACGCTCACTTATAAATTAAATTTTTTTTTTAATTTAATTTGTTTATTATTATTTTTTTTACTATATTACGTGTTAAAAAACGCCAAATAACAACATACAGTGATAAATAAGAAAAAAATGAGATTTCATTTGTAAAACCTTGCTTTAATTTTTTTCAACAATTAACGATCCAACAACTTTTTCCCTCTCGAAGCAGCAAACACTTTTTTCAAAAGCTTCTACTTCTACATTAATTCGCTAAATTTACTATAATCAGCAGTTTATGATAATAATTAACTCTAGATTCGTTACATGATTTATTAATTACGTCTGTTATATTTTTAAAAATATTTTGCCGCCAGCCAAACAAATATTTGTAAACGTGACTCATTTCGAATTGAAAAAACTGTGTATGTTCCATGTATGCTCATAATAAATCAATTATTTTCGATCAACGCTCACGTGGTGCATCCATATTTAATCGGAATTAATACGTGTCTGTGTGTGTGAGTGTAGCAAAACGGCAAATCTTTATCTAATAATAGGCAACTACTACTCTAGTAAAATGCGAACACGAAAAATTTTTGAGTTGTCTGATGCTAAAGTTTACATTATACAGCTCGATTTCTCAATTTCATTAATAAGCGTTTTCACGTATCACGTGCCACATATGTTTATATAAATAGGGTGGCGAGGAGGTCGTGTCTTTTTTATTAATATTANGTTTGAGGAATGCAAAGCAAACAAGAGTAAAGACAAGCAATTTTGGTAACATTGTTGATTTTTTATTTATTTATTTTTTTTCCTTCAAGTGGTTAGAACTAAATAACATAAATTTCTTGTTAATTCATTGTTATTATAAGTATTATTATTATTATTATTTTGTATTATAATTAGTAATATTACTATAGCCATAGTAATAAGAACTCTAACGGTGAGGCACGCCCTAAAATCAAAGTCATACATATTTTTATTTTTTTGTTTTCATTCGGATTTTTTTTCATTATTTCTGCCTTGGATTTGTTACACCATGGGTTTGAATGAATAAATACCACAAACATTATTCCGTACGAAGCGGCGTTAACGTAAAAAAAGTGTTTCGTACATCTTTCACAAGACAATTTTCCAACGTTTAAAATGAAATATACTTTAATTAGTATTTGATTGTGATAAACTGAGAAACGTTTAACGAAGAATTTAAAATAATAAGGTTTCAAATATCTTTATGACAAACTATCAAAAAAAGATACAATTTTTTTGGACCTAACTGAGTCAGTAACATATTTATATAATAACAAATCATGAATACTAGTGAGAATTGACAATAAAGCTTGGATCCCAATGTTTCCAAAATTTTTGAAAACATTTGGTTACACGTTTTTCCAACACTGACATTGGTATCAAAGTTTTTAGATAAACTACAATTTGTTATATTTTCTGCACATACAGTTATTTATTTGGTAGTAATAACACTAAACTAACATTTTAAAAAACACTGGTATTAACTGCTGTTTTGTATGAAACTTTATACCTAAGTACCTTAAATGTAAATGAAGACAAATAAAAATAAGTCAGAAAATTTTTTTTTATTATTATTTACAATTCCGTTATTTTTATTATAATTTACAAAGGAAGTTTTGTAGAAAGCGTTAATTTTGTCCCTACACATCTTGATAGCTTAATAAATTTATTCCGTAAATAAATTGACTTATAATTTAAAATATCAGTAAAATAATAGTATGACAGCCAAATGCAGCTTTTCAAGAGCAAATAATTAAAGCTATTTATAAATAGTTGAAATAGTTTATTCAAAATAAAGTTTGTTAATCATAATAATCACTGAATTAAGTGTTTGTTGGTGCACTACACTTTCTTCACGATTTGCACAACGTCTTCATCATTCAAGACATGATCCTTTCCAACCTTCTGTGGCTGATGCTTTACTGATAAGCCCCACACCAAAGCATACTTGAATTCCTTGGCAATAGTTCTGTGTAACTTATTGCAAAAATCTTCAATAGTTCGCCTATCTGTGTTCAAAACTACTGGTGCATTGTAATCCGGTAATTGGCCTTTAGGTTTGGTATAAATCCGGACAAGTTTCAAGTAGTCCCACATCTTCTCTAGTAGATCATCGAAATTCCACTTGTGATGAGCAGATATTGGCACGCAGTGAGGTATTTTATAAATAACGTCGAGCTCTTCGATGCTGATTTGATCGATTTTGTTCAACAAATAAATACATGGTATATATATTCTGTTACCTTCAATAACATCAATCAGATCGTCTGATGTAGCATCATATCTGAGAGTGATATCAGCATTGTGAATCTTATACTCTGATAAAATAGTCCTGACAGTGTCCAAATCAAGTTCAGACTGTGTGCAAGTAGTTTGTAAATTAATACCTCCCTTGTCTTTCTTCCTGAAGTGAATATTAGGTGGCTGTTTATTCAATCTTATGCCAAAGCCTTCCAACTCGTGCTCAATGAGCCTTTTGTGCCCTAGGGGCTTCAAGACATCCAAGACAATGAAAATCAAGCTACAGGTTCTTGCAACAGCAATGACCTGCCTACCTCTACCCTTGCCATCTTTAGCACCTTCAATAATACCTGGCAAGTCCAGAAGCTGAATCTTGGCTCCTTTATACTTGATGCAGCCAGGAACTGTGGTAAGAGTTGTAAACTCATAGGCAGCTACTTCGGAGTATACTCCAGCAAGGGTACTAAGAAGAGTCGATTTCCCGACCGAGGGAAAGCCTACAAATCCAATGCGAGCATCGCCAGTTTTGGCGACTTCAAAGCCCTGCTCACCGCTGCTACCACCGCCTTTAGGGGTAATCAGTTCTCGTCTGAGCTTGGCAAGTTTGGCTTTTAGCAGACCCAAATGGCCCGAGGTCGCTTTGTTCTTTTGCGTCCTCGCCATCTCGGCCTCGATGTCCGCAATTTTTTCGAGTATGGTACTCATTTTCAAAGTTCTTAGGTACTTTAACAGTAACAAATAGTAAGTGTTCGTCTAATTTAACCTTTAACCAACTTCATTTCAAATTTGTTCTAAAGGCGAAAAATGTGTGCCTCATGTACAAGATCAATCGTGTAGGAAAGTTCGCTGAAATGAAAATATTGAAATGTTATCTTCAACTTTCTTTTATTCAATTACAAAAATTTTATTACAGTCTTAAAAATAAGTTTTAATTCAACAATTATTCTAAAGGGAATTGCTTCTCAGTCTCACCTCTTTTCCATTTTCAGCTCCTGCAACAAATAAAGAATAAGCTTGTTAATTAACATTTCTCACTCCTAAATCAATTTTGTTAGATAAATGTAAGCTTCAGTTGGTAGTGCATGTTATGAATAATCATTTGTACTCATTAATTGGTGTAAAAGTTGTCATCATATTGAAAGTACGCGTGCAGCATTTGCGTACATTGTTAATTTTACCGAAAAATAAACTAATCAACAAAGACGTTCGCCGCTACTAAAACGTTTAATGTTATAACTTGATTGGAAAATTGGTAATAAAGCGCGATGATTGCGGATTATAAAATTTATTTTATAACCTAGCGAGATAGTTGTCTTACCTGTAGACCGTCGATGATGCCCAACAGTCTTTTTCTTCCCGAAAATTTGACGAAACTTGTTAATAAGTGTTGAGTTTACAGCAGTAACGAAATTAAGAGAAGGTAATAAAAAAATGACCAACAAATTAAATTAATAAGAAAAAAAAGAAAAAAAAAAATGTTAAATCTACATGTTATTCATAGATTAATGAGATGATTCTCGACACCCGGTGTCTAAAGAAATGTGAGCACGGTACTTGACTACTCCATGGATCGTACTTTACTGCTATTCCAGAGATTAGTAGAGCCAACCTCCTCCAATCTTTCGACTCTCTGTCTGTCTCTGTTCTCGAGCTATATTTTGCTTTCGTCCGCATTGTCCGCAAGAAGCGCCCGCAACGCCACATACGGGGCAAGGGCGGGAGTATTCGACTTGCACCAACAATTTGTTGGCAACAACGTTATTTTCTAACATTAATGCATCACTTTGTACTGTTGATCAAGAATCATATACTTATTTAGAATAATAATTTTTACAGGGACGTTTTCTTCTGATATTCATTCGCTTCCTCCAACACATTTCCGCATAGCTTTTGCTTACTTTATATACTGATCAGTTTACTTATCTAATTGGTTAGTACAACGCAAACGTACACAAACCTATCGGCCGTATCGCGCTATCTCGCTCTGCATATTTATATAAGTTCAGTTAAGGCTCATTTTTTTGTGGTTGCAGGAATCTCCCTTTAATCGCCTAAACCGAGTGTCCTGTACCTACATATAGTTAAAGGCCATGGCCAGATTACGGAATATATAGCGCCAGTTTAATTCAAGGTAAGTATAGTTGACCTCGGTTGACTTACTGACCTGACGGTAACGTAGAGCGAAAATTTAAATTACTTGCTGGGTTGCTGGTGACGACGATTGCGGAAAACACCCCAAGCGGCGTTACCACCACGACCTACGTAACTTTACAGCCTCTGATTTTATCATTCTGGTAAAGAGAGCACGGTGTAAGATGTACGTGAAGTTATGTGTAGTAATTAAAGTAATTACTACTAAGTAATGCCATATGGTCGATTTTATTAAACCATATGAATATCTATATTTTTGGAGGTCAACTTTTGGGTAAAAAATAAATTGTTAACTTGCCGCAAATAGCACAGACCACGTCAACTTTTTATTATCTATCTATAA